GCGCGCCGCCGGGACGTGGCGGCCCTCAGAGGCCGGGACGACAGCCGCCGCGTGGAGCTCGGGGGCCGCGAGGCGCGGGCTCAGACATCCCTGGGCGAGCCCTGGCGGCGGCGGCGGTGGTAAAACTGCGACCGCGGCCCCCCTCCCGCTCGCGCTTCCGCTGTCCCACTGCTCCCTCCCGCGCCTCGGCGCTTCCTCCTCAGCGCCTGCCTTCTTTTCCCTCCAGGCTCCTCGTTTGTTTTCATTGACCCCGGCGTCGCTTTCACTTCCTGGATGAAAGGGGCCGGCTCATCCTGGGAAACCCCTCCCCGGCGGCGGGGCTGGAGGAGCGGGGCCGGAGGCGGCGCGAGGAGGGCGGGCCGGGGCTCTGACTCTGCCTCAGCCTCCCTCAGCCCTCGGCTGGCGGTCCCGGGGCTCCCACTCTCCCCGCTGCTGCTGAAGCCTGGACCCACCGGCCGCCGGGGCCTAAGCCTCAGCTCCCAGGACAGCCCGACTCGGACTCCGCTGCGCGCGCAGCCCGCGGGCGGACCCGAGGACGAACTCCCAGCGCACGCGTCCTGCAGGCAGTGACTTAGGCCTCGCAGGGTTTTTAAAACAGCCTCAGGTCCTTCCGGTGGCTGTTTTTCAAAAAAAAAAAAAAAAAAAAGGGGACGAAGAAACAAAGAAAAGAAAAAACTTCCTATATATGTTTCCTTCGTATCCTCCTCACACTGAGGGAGTCCGAGAAAGTATCTCCAAGGCAGGCAGCGTGCCGCTGAGTCGTCCGGCAAGAAACCGCTAGGAGCCCCAAGGAATTGTCTTCCCCGCTTATTAGACAGTCACAACTTCATTTAGAATATAAAACATGGAAGCAAACGAGTTTATTTCATTTCAAAAAAATGGGGCTTTCCCCTAGGCTTTATAATTTTTTTTAAAATCCTGTTTGGAAATGATCATCATCTTGTATAACTGACAATAATTTTCAGATTTATGGAATTTTGCAAACTTTAAAGCAAAGCAGATATAGCAGGCTCAATGTTGCAGCTTTTCTTAGTATCACCGAGGTAGTTAACATACCTCCCCTTCCAAATCCTGACCCAGGCCTTAAGTGGTTTAGGTAAAAGTCTTTGGGTATTCACTTGGAAATAAGGTGATTTGATGGCTTAAAGAGATGGACAGAAGGATGTGTAATAAATTAAATACGTGCAGTTAAATGTTAATGACAGAATCCAAGTAGAGGCTGTAAGACCGCGGTAATAGGGTAGTAAAGTTCATTTGTTCCTGTGTGTTGGAAAGTTTTTCATACTAAAATGTTAGGAGGTGGGGTTATAAAGCTGACTTTGTGTCAGACTTGGTCAAATTCCTGCTGCCTAGTAGCTGTGAGATTGAAACAGAATGCCCATACTCAGATCACCTCGTTTTCTCATCTGTTCAATGTTTATAATTACCGATCTCGCAGACTTGGTAAGAAAAACAACCTTGTCTTGGCTTTTCCCGCACGCCTACAAGCCCTCAAACCAAGGGCGGCCCCAAGTGGTGAGGGGAGGAAACGCAAACCAGCAGCGGGTGTGGAACGGCTGGAGTGGGCTCTCGGGAAAAGTCTCTTAACGCTGGCGGGGAGGAGCAGCACCTCTGCTCACTAGTGTGTGGCTTAGCCTGGACCTCCTCATGCATGACTCTGACCCCGAGAAGGCGCTTCAAGGATAACCCAGAAGCAAAACGCCTCCCCCGATGCCTACCAGTTCTCTAAGAGTCTGATGACAAGCCTTTCACGCCCAGAAATGGTAATCGTATTCTCTGACTACGCCATCCCGTCTTTTTCGTTCGTCTTCTGCCAGCTTTATTTTAGGTAACGTAAGCGTTCCTTTTGAACCCTGGGGAAACTAGCTGTAAAATACGCCGACTTAGTGGGGAGATGCGGCGTTAAGTGTGCACCACTGCCTTAGACTGAGGACAGCCAGCCAAAGCGCGTGGTACCGCGGGGACAAGACAAGCAGCAGACCCAAAAATTCGCTGGCCGGGAGGCGGGCGGGGCGAAGCGCGGCCCCGCCCCTGCCCTTTGTGACGTAGGACAATGCCTGCCACGCGTCGGAACTAGGTTTCTGGGGCGCGAGCGACTCGAACGAGGGTACGTGGTGGTCATCTGCGGCGAATTCCAGGAACCATGCATTTCTTATTTAGATTAATCGTTTTCTTTTACGTGTGGGGCATTTTTACTGCTCAGGGGCAAAAGGGAGAGGAGGAAGTGAAAATAGAAGTTTTGCATCGTCCAGAAAATTGTTCTAAGACAAGCAAAAAGGGAGACCTGCTAAATGCCCATTACGACGGCTTTTTGGCTAAAGACGGCTCGAAATTCTACTGCAGGTAGGAAATGATGGGAACAGCTCCTGGGTCCAGTTGATGCAATAAATCTACCCTCCGGCCACCAACCAGAAGCCTAATTGGTTGGTTGGTTTCTTGTTTTTCTTGTAAGAGTTGAGCCTTTTATTCCTAGGAAGGGAAATCAGATTTGGTGCATTTCCCTATTAAGCAGAATATTACTTTTTAAATTATTGAAAAATGTGGCCCAAGAAATTATCACAGATACACTACTCCACACTCACCCCTGACCACCGCCATTATCCTTGAGACCTGTAGAAGTAGGTCAAGAAACTGATTGTAAGAATGTTCACACTTTTCCTGTCCAGTAGTTTAAGAGATATTATCTGGTGTTCATAAGCATGATATTTACTGGCTGGGGGCCACTTTCCAACTGTATCAAGAAGCCACTACAACAATGACATTACCTGGTTACTTCTGGGCTCTGTGTCCTTCCATCTGCCCTCTCGTCCCACTACTGCCTGCTCCGATTTAATTGGTGGTTTATTGCTTACAAGAACGTCTTTTCTTCATCTGTACTATTACCCTATAAAAATAGGATTGGGGAAAGTTAGTTCTTTCTATTTAGAAGAAAATAGAGACATTTAATAAGAAAAAAGATACAAATTTTAATTACAGTTCAAATGATTTTTGAGGCTAAACCTGCACCATCGTTCTTTAGAACAAACCAAGGGAGGTTAAATAAGTTATTTGGACAAGCCATGCAGCAAGTTAGGGTCAGGAGACCCATTAAAAACTTAACTGTTGAGTAGTTTTCATAAAGATGACAATAAAAAGGAAAATGAGATGACTCCTAATGACTAGCTTTGGGCAAATCCTACCTCTGGCTATTATGAGGATAGTTTGACCCAAACACTCCCCCAGGGGTTTCAGAATGAGTCCTAAAATAGGAAAAGAGATGGTGAGAAAGGACTCCAATTTTAAATTATAACTAATGGCCAGCTGTATTTTAAAGTTTGATTTTATTTTTCTTGAAATCAGCTTACCTAAGTGTTTTTAATTATAGCCGGACACAAAATGAAGGCCACCCCAAGTGGTTTGTCCTTGGTGTTGGACAAGTCATAAAAGGCCTCGACATTGCAATGATGGATATGTGTCCTGGAGAGAAGCGAAAAGTGATTATACCCTCTTCATTGGCATATGGAAAGGAAGGCTATGGTAAGATGTTTTAATATGTATATGTCTAAGTTATATTTAAAAATAAATCATAGACATCTGTGTATATAGTCCAAAAAAAACAGAAAGCAGAGTCTCAAAGATACATTTGTACAACCACATTCATGGCAGCACTATTCACAATAGCCAAAGACTAAAAATAACCCAAGTGCTCATTGACAGATGGAGGAATAAACAAAATGTATATACATTCAATGAAATAGTATTCAGCCTTGAAAAGGAAGGAAATTCTGATACATGCTACAGCATGGATGAACCTGGCATACATTATGCTAAATGAAATAAACCAAACACAAAACACAAATACTGCATGATTCCACTTCTATGAGGTACCTAGAGTAATCAAATTAATAGAGCCAGGAAGAGAAGGGTCGAATAGGGAGTTGTTATTTTATGGGTATAGAGTTTCAGTTCTGCAAGATGAAAGAGTTCTGGAGATAGGTTGCAATGTGAATGTACTTAACACCTCTGAACTGTGTACTTAAAATGGTCAATTTTATGTTACTTGTATTTTCCCACAACTACAAATTTTGAATTGCTAAAAAAAACTGAATTAAAAATCATAGAGGAAATAATGATAGGCTATAGAGTCCAATAAACTTTAGCTGTATCTAGTCCAGTCCAGCCCAATCCCCTCTTTTTACACATCAAGAAATTAAGACATTGTTGCAATACAGATCTCTGGCCAGAGTCTTTTATCCCACAGAGTGGTGACACTCATAATGATGGTGTATATTTTATAAAACTCCACTTAGTCATTTTAAATTTGTTTTTAGTATGTATTATTACTACATAAATGTCTATAGCAAATATTTTGGTAAGCAGTACCAAAGTCAAGTTTATAAAACTCAGGAACCTGGAACATGACTTTAGAGTAAAAGGACACCATTGGAACATTGTAAAAAGAACATCTGAAATAAAACAAGCTGTTAGTCACTATTATCCAAAGTCAGGAGAAGCCTTGAAATATGGAAGAAATGAACTGCTTCTTTCAGGATCTTACCTGTTTTTTAAATCCTAGAGTAAGATCTGAGAACCTAGGTAAAGCAGATAAATGAGGAAAGTGCTTGCAGCATGTATAAGCACATATGACCTGTTCTAGAAATGGGCAAGTTCATAAACAAGTGGTTCACTAACCTAAAAATACAAATGACCTACCAGAATACTCAGTTTTATTCATAGTTAAAGAAAGAACTTAAAACAAAAATGAGACACCATTTTCACCCATCAGATTAGCAAAGACATAAAAGTTGGCAAAGATATAGAAAAAGCAGCAGTGACACAGGTTATTGCCAGAAATGTACATCATTCAACCTCTCTAGTAATTTCTATCAAAATTTAAAATGCACGTATCCTCTGATCACATAGTTCCAAATCCAGGAATGTGCACAAAGGTATATCTTAAAGAACATTCACTGCAGACCTTTTGGGTAGCAAAAGACTGCATGCTATCTTAGTATCCCTCAATAGGAAATTAGTTTAAAAACTTATGCTGTAGCTATACAACGGATTATTGTGTAGCCAGTAAAAAGAATGAAGTAGAGCCATATGTATTAATATGTTAAAATAAAGAGGGACAGAATATATTCCTAGAATGAATATTTATTGAGCATCAGTATCAGACTCTGTCCTAGGCACTGCACATAAAGCAGTGTACAATGCAGAAACAACTCCCTATCCTCAATGAGCTTACATGCAAGAGGGGAATTTCACATATGCATCATGTATCTACATAGACTATATCTGAAAGAGAAACCATCTGGTGACATTAAATATTTCTGGGAAGGAGGCCTGAGGGTCAAGGGTGAGATTTCTTTTCACTCTGTAATATATTGTACTGCTTAAATTTTTAATGTGTACATGTATTAAGTATTTCTTACTGAAGTATAGTTGACTTAAAAAATCTTAAAATGTTCTCAAAAAATTAAAAATAGAACATATGATCCAGCAATTCTACTCCTATTTATCCAAAGAAAATGAAAACACTAATTCATAAAGATATATGCACCCCAGTATTCACTGCAGCATTAATACAATTGCCAAGACATGGAAGCAACCTAAGTGCCTGTCAATAGTTGATAGAGAAGGTACGGTATATATACAATGGAATATTACTGCACCATAAAAAAGAATGAAATCTTGTCATTTGCAACAACATGAATGGACCTGGGGGTATTATGATAAGTGAAATAAGTCAGACAGGGAAAGACATGCATTAATTTTTCCAAAAATCATTAAAATTAAAAGTGAAGCAGAATAGAGAAATTTTTACAAAGGGGGAAAATGGGCAGTCTGGCAGAGGGCTAGTTTCCATCTTGCATTCTCAGTTGGGTCCTTACTTCCTACTGCTGTGTGAAGATTATAAAGAATCTCTATCTTCTCATTCTATTTAAATCCCTTGCTAACTCCACCTGTTTTAAATATTTACGATATATTTAAAGTAGTTAAAGATTTTCTATGATGATATATTATCTCTAATCTCCAATACTTCATTGAAATGGCATGCCCTCTTTGAAGCTGTTGGTTTACTCATTAGGAGAAATTATTCCCTAGCCTATTCTTTCCAGCAGAAGCAGGGAATCGCTGCCCCAGTTTGGATTGCAGGTTGGTTAAAAGTGTGAGTCAGACCCAAACAGATTTGAAACTCCTAAAGAGACAGTTCCAGATAACTACAGCTTCATTTTCAATGCTTTTAGCCAGTCATTTGGTCCTGTCACAATAGCTCCCACAGAATCATAATTTATGTATCCTATTTTTAGTTGTAAAGGAACCTAGGGAAGAGAGAGAGAGAATTGAAGATGAATTAAATTGAATGTAATCTTGTCCTAAAAATGCTGTCATAGGTTGAGGCCAATTCTAGGCAAAATGATATATGCCTTTCAGTCTCTTTAATCTCATTTTCAGAGTTTCTCTTTCTCATGTAGATACCTTTACCTTCTGCCTGCTACCACAGCACCCATGCCCCTCTCTGCCTAGAGCACCCAGATCCCTCATCAATAGATGCTCCTCCTGGGTCCCATGACCCAATGGCAAATGACTACTTAGTTTGTCCTTTTTGTAAACTAATTTATACTTAGATATATATAACTACCCAGGCTGCCTAAGCTATTAATAAACCAGACCCTTGCTGCAAAAATGTAGAAATTTGACTTGAAGAAGCTAGTTCATACTCAATTTGAGGTGTCTTCAATATACAGAAAAATAGTGAATCTCACTATTAACACCACCAACACCTTTGTTTTACATATAAGGACACTCAGACCCAACAAAAGTGTGCTCTTTGAAATGTAGTTAACTGCTAGTTTACCTGCATTATTTATAACAGTTTACTTGATAGCTTGGATTAGATTATTTTAAAAGCTGCTATGTAGACCATAAGTAACTGCTTAACAAACAACATCTAGACTGAATAAACTTTTTAAAATAAATTGTTATTTAGGCAAAACATTCTCTGACATAAATCTTAGCAATGTTCTCCTAGGGCAGTCTACCCAGGCAATAGAAATAAAAGCAAAAATTAACAAATGGGATCTAATTAAACTTAGAAGCTTTTGCACAGCAAAGGAAACCATAAGCAAAACAAAATAACAACCTAAGGAATGGGAGAAAATATTTGCAAATGATGCAACTGAGAAAGGTTTAATTCTCAGAATATATAAACATCTCATACAACTTAATAATAAAAAAAAAACCCAATCCAAAACTGGGTGGAAGACCTAAACAAGAAATTCTCCAATGAAGACATACAAATGGCCAATAGGCACATGAAAAAATGCTCAGTACCACTAATTATCAGAGAACTGCAAATCAAAACTACAATGAGATATCACCTCACACCAGTCAGAACAGCCATCATTAAAAAGTCCACAAAAGATAAATGCTGGAGAGGGTGTGGAGAAAAGAGAACCTTCCTACACTGTTGGTGGGCATGTAGTTTGGTGCAGCCATTATGGAAAACAGTATGGAGATTCCTCAAAACACTAAAAATAGACTTACCATATGATCCAGCAATCCCACTCCTGGGCATATATCCAGAGGGAACTCTAATTTGAAGAGATACATGCACCCCAATGTTCATAGCAGCACTATATAAAATAGCCAAGATATGGAAACAACCCAAATGCCCATTGACAGATGACTGCATAGAGACTTTATGGTATATTTCCATAATGGAGTACTACTCAGCCATAAAAAGAATAAAATTCCATTTGCAGCAACATGGATGGACCTAGCAATTTTCATTCTAAGTGAAGCCAGAAAGAGAAAGAAAAATACCATAGGATATCACTCATATGCAGAATCTAAAAAAAAAAGGAAGATAAAAGGACACTATGAACTCATCTACAAAGCAGAAATAGATTTGCAGACATAGTAAACAATCTTATAGTTACAGGGGAGAGGGGATGGGAAGGGATAAATTTGGGAGTTTGAGATTTGCAAACGTTAGCCACTATATATAAAAATAGATTAGGAAAACAAGTTTCTTCTGTATAGCACAGGGAACTATATTCAGTATCTTGTAATAACCTTTAATGAAAAAGAATATGAAAACAAATATATGTATGTATATGCAAGACTGGGACACTGTGATGTACATGAGAAATTGACATATTATAACTGACTACTTCAATTAAAAAATAAAATAAATTGTTATTAAGATCTAACATTAGCTATAACTTTATTTTAGGTGATGCTAGAAGGAATCTTTCCTCTGCACAGTATCCTTGCCTCATATCACAGAGCACCCCTGCATGTCTTGAAATGCATGTGACTGAGTTGTTAGTGCTTTAATTAACAGTGCATGTGGTATGTATAGATTCTTTACATTAACTCCTACATCTTTGATCTGCTTCTCTAAATACAATTAATTGTATAGCAAATGCATATTTTCCTCTTTATACTATAATTTTTTGCAAGGAAAAACTTAATTGGCAATATATTCTATGTTTACAGTAGAATTTTTTGGAAACTTTGACTTCTAATATTTTTTCTTAAGAAATGTGAATTTATGTTTGAATTTGTTATTAATTATTGTCAGAAGTTATTTTTCTGTCATAAAGAGATCATAACTGGACAGAATAGGAATTGATTTTGTAAAAATGATCATTGCTGTAATGATCTAGCTCTTTTACTCTTAAGTCAGGTAACATGTGGTACGTTTGTTGGGATGGTCACATTAGTCATGTGATACATGAATAGATTTTTTTTTTTTAATGTCCTGGCTTTGGAGATGATTGATTCATTTCTCCTTTTGGCTGTAACTTTCAGGCTTTTTTTCTTTGGATTATATATAGATACTTCAGCAAGAAATCTCCACTTTTTCATTAAATTACTATTTGCTTCAAAGAACAAACATTCATTTTTTTAAATAAATGACAGAGGTCATTCATTCAACAAATATTTAAGTGACTATAATGTACTGATGACACAAGCCACCCATGCCTCTTAGCAAGTCATTTCTGCAGCTCATTTTTATGGCTGGTCATTTGAAATAGCCCATAGCCTGCTAAAATCATCTATGACATCAGTAAATAGATTAACTTTATTAACAAGAACTATTCAACTTAATACTTAAAAGGTTTTATTGTGTTAGAAATTTCTTCATAAAATTCTTACTGGTTTATTCTGTCATAGCACTACTTTTTAATGTCTATTAAGAATTTGAAAGACAAGTATATTAACACAAATATCTTATTCATACTTCCAAATAATTGAACAAAATCATTTTCTAAAAGGTACTGATCTTTGACTTTTTCTGTGAATTTCTTCTCGGCACTAGCTCTCTCCTCTTTATAATGTTTGGGTATATTAATAAAAATTACATGATTTATATTTATTTCAATTTATTGAGGACATAATGGTCCCCTAGGTCCTTAGAACTATCTTGGTTTGAAAACATATAGAAAAAATTTTCCTAAAAAATATTTAGAAAGCAGTTTTTACATGTATGAAATAATATAATCTTAATGCTGTAATGACTATTAGTGAATAAATATTTGAACATTATCTTCATGTAAGTTAAACTCTTAAAATTTACACCTTTAGCAGAAGGCAAGATTCCACCTGATGCAACGTTAATTTTTGAGATTGAACTTTATGCTGTGACCAAAGGACCACGAAGCATTGAAACATTTAAACAGATAGACACGGACAATGACAGACAACTCTCTAAAACCGAGGTAATTCAAATAGATTTCGTATGTACAATGTAATTTTTTCCCACAATTTAAATACATCTGTGTTACAGCTGTTTTTTTTAGTTCTACCCAGTATGGGCTACTTTCCTTTTATAGAGCAGGTAACAAAAAATTAAGTTCCAAGAAGAAAATGTGCTTTTCAATATAAAACCTGAAACTAAGTCAACCTGTTCAATTTCCCTTCTCCCTGCAAGAGGGTCATTAAAATCCCAAAATAATCTCTACAGGGCATTTCCAGCCTCTACACTATTGGAGCAGATCTTTTTCAAACAGCATTATAGGAATTTGTAATAGGGCAAATAATTGCCACCTCATAGGATTGTGAGGATTACATGAGATCATTAAAAGAGCTAGCAAGAATTTGAATTGTGGCCCTGAAAGTTGGTAAACAGGGGCCAGGAGTTCAGTTACCTAGCTTCTGCACCCCAGTTGGTCTTACATATGAATTGAGGGCTTAGTACAGACCTCAAGGTGCAGTAACTCTGGAAAACAGAATGGAGATTCCTCCTCAGATAATTAAGAATATAACCACCATATGATCCAGCTATTCTGGTTCTGAATATTTATCTGAAGAATACAAAAACACTGTTTCGGAAAGGTATCTGCAGTCCTGTGTTTATTACAACATTATTTATAATAGCCAAGACATGGAAACAACCTATCAACAGATGAATGGCTAAAGAACATATATCACAGGTATACAGTGGAATATGACTCAGCCATTAAAAAAAAAATGAAACCTTGCCATTCACAACATGGATGGACCTTGAGAGTATCATGCTAAGTGAAATGAGTCCAACAGGGAATGACAGACACTGTATGATTTCACTCTTATGTGGAATGTTTAAAAAAACAACAAATGAATGAAATCAAACAAAAACACACACACAGATACAGAGGACAGAGTAGTGGTTGCCAGAGGGGAGGTGAGAAGGTGGAATGGGTAAGGAGGGTCAATTGTTTGGTGACAGACAGAAACTAAATTTTGATGATGAGCACACTGAAGTGTATACAGAATTTGAAATATGTTGTACACATGAAACTCATATAATGAACACTTATTTTTTTAAAAAGATCTTGAAGTAATAATTTTTGTCACACTTTCTCAGTACCAGGTATAATTATAAACCTATAGTGTGTGAACTTATTTCATCTCCATGACAGTTTATGAGGTGGGGCCCTATTGTCATCCTCTCCATCTCATAGATGGGGGAAATGATGCCCAGACAGATTAAGTAACTAGCTGAAGGTCTCACAGCTCTAAGTATCAGAACAGGCTTGCAACCCTAGCAATCTGGCTCCACTACTGTGCTCTAACCATGAGTTTACCCTGCCTCTTGCAGGGAACTTCCATCATGGACGTTTCAGGGCTAATGCTTGTTTCGGTGAATTCTCGTGCCTTACTTAGTCCCACTGACTCTACTATTTGTTTAAATTAGGTATCCCAGCTGTCTCCCCTCTTTTTTGGAGGCAGTTTAATACACATAACTAAACCACCTAAGTAATAAAAGACACAACCAGGTCACTGATTTCAAATGATGGGAGTAAGCCCCTTGTCTCTTGTTTTTTTCCCTCTCCTCCAATTCTTTCCCCACCCTTATTCTACTTCCTCCTCCATATTAGTAAGGACTTTTTCCCTGAAGCTCTTTGGCTGGTTAGTGATGGAAGAGGAATAAGGGAGTGGGAACACGCCCTGCTCTGTAAGAATAGCAGCAATTAAAGGGGTGGCAAACTGTTCCCCATGTGTTTTTTCTGTTGACTCCTTATCACCCTCTTTAGAGTGAACCGCAGCTACAGATGAATTCACGTAGTACCCAAGAGCTCAGCCTGTGCACGCAGACCGTTCAGTATCACTTGCACACCAAGAGGCATGTTCATCATTATGAATACACCTCAGTAAACCTTAGGGGACCTTCAGGTCTTTTCTGGAGAATGAAAGTAGGGAAAATCCAAAATAGTGGTCTGCATAGCTACGGTTTGCCCAGATGTTTCTCACATATCAGCTGCATTATCACAAGTGAGAGTGATTTTGATTTTCATATGGTTGAATGATGACAGTAACTGTCTTTTATTGACACTTGTAAACATGACTCTAAATCTCAAATCAATCCCACAACATAGATACTATTTCCCTCCTTCTACAGATGACAAAACTGAGGTACAGAGAGGTTAAATTACTTGTCCAAGTGTATGGCAAAGTCTGGATTTGAAACATGAACTAAAACTACCTTCCTTCATCATCAGAAAGATTTAGTCAGTTATTTCTGCAGTATACATAAGATGGGGGAGAAATGAAACACAGTATTTTTATTACATTATTACAAAGTAGAAACAGTGTGGAGCCCATTGCCAGCAAAATTAAGATCATGTTCTTACCTACTGCTTTTTTGTACCTCTTCACTACATTGTACTAGGAAAGTACATTTTGAGAGTCAGCAATATTGGTTTTATATATATATATAAATATATATTTACTTACATATAAACTGAGGAATACTTGAGGCTGTTTAAAATTCTTTACACCTACATAGGAGGCTCAGTTGGAAGAAAAAAATGCATCTTTCTCATATAGGACTGAAGTCCCATTTGAGAACAGTTCATAGATCCTTCATTAAGATTCACTGATCATTCTAAAATAAGGCTTACTCAACAATGGATTGTTTGGATATGTATTGCTAAAAACCACTCAGGGTTCAACTTCAGCCTTCAAAAACACTGTTGCTTCTAAAACACCCAGCCTTGCTTAACATTATCTTCAAATCATCGTGCATTGCTTTCTTTAGTTATTATATGTAAATATATAGTATATATAATTTATTTATATAATATATATAATTTCCAATTAATATAATTGAGTCACATATATAATTAGAAATTTTTTGTAGCCACATCTTTAAAAAGCTCTCCGCCATGGGTCTCACAGACCCAAAGGATGAAGGACCACCCATTTCTCACTGGCAGTCTCCCCCTCCCCAGACCAAGGCCCCCCATGCCAAGCTAAGCCTCCAAGTGCATCAACTAACCCTCAGCTCCAAATCTGAGCCTCATACCACACAGATGAGGAACACTCCCTCGGGTGCCCCGAACTTACCCAGCCCCCCTAGCACTTGCCCAAAAGAGTCTCTGCCAAGGAGTCAAGAAAATCCAGTGCTGAGGTCTCAAAAAAAAAAAAAAAAAAAAAAAAAGTAAAACAAGTGAGATTAATATATTTTGCTTAACTCAGTATATCTAAAATATTGCCATTTCAACATGAAACCAATATAAAAATTATCAATGAGATACTTTTTTATTGTCTTCAAAATTTGTGGTTTATTTTACCCTTATAGTAGCTTGTCTCAATTTGATCTACCACATTTCAAGTGCTTAATGGTCATACATGGCTAGTAGCTACCATGTTAGGCTGTACTTATAATGTGTCTTTGCTTAGAGAAATGTCATAGAGAAAAGGGAATACTTCAGAATACCTGTTCTTTATTTGACATTATTATTAGAGAGATTATCATAGTCTGTAGATTGGGGGAGAGCTATAGAAGCATAGAAAAATTAAGAAAGTTAAATTTTATTTCAAAATCTGTGGTTTGGTTTTATTCACTACACAGCATATTAATTTTAGAGATTACAGAAATGCCAATTTGAATTTTATTCACTAAGGGAATCCTTGAGAGTGAACTTCCTTTGATAATGTGGACAGTGTAGATTACTGGAAAGCATTTAGTTTCAACAAAATTTAATTCAGATGTTAATCTCTGAGTATGTACCACTAACCACCTATAACCTCAGGGGAAGCTAATTTGAAGATCTGCTTCTCTTCAGAAACTTGCTTTAAAGGTTGATAAAATAAAACCTCAAATAGCTTTCAAAAATTTTATATCACTTATTATAAGTAGTCTTAGATATGAGTTTCTTTATGTAAACATTTCTTCAAAGTTGCTGAAAATTTATTGTGATACCTTTTTATTAAAGAAATATTATTTTGGCCCTCTAGATAAATCACTACCTGAAAAAGGAATTTGAAAAAGATGAGAAGCCACGTGACAAATCATATCAGAACGCAGTTTTAGAAGATATTTTTAAGAGGAACGACCATGATGGTGATGGCTTCATTTCTCCTAAGGAATACAATGTATATCAACATGATGAACTATAGCATATTTTTATTTCTAAATTTTCTTAGCTACCTACTGTACTTTATATATAAAGCAGTCACTTTTCTCCAAGTTGTATTTTCTATTTTTCCCCGATGAACGTATTTTGATCCCCTCAATACATGTAATTTTGGAATAATAAATGTGAGACTGTTTTGCAAAGTTAACTTTCAGGTAATGCTTGATTGTGTTTCCTATTGCTTTATTCTGTTAACACAAATTGTAGCACCATGAAATCTACCTCTGCATCCCAGTGGGCAATTTTTCCCCTTCAGGTTATTGGAGGACGTCTATGTCAAAAACCTGCAAACTCTTCCCAACTCTAACCTTTATGGCATGTATAAATATGTAAATATCCAATTTCTAATATTTTGCATGTTAAAGTACCCCATATTTTTTAAATATTCAATGGGGACCCAGGAATTTAACATTTCATTTATATGTTTCATAGCATTACAGATATTAGGATATAAAAACCATAGGACCAAAGAGTCTTCCTTTAGTATGCATGCAGGAAAGTATTAGTTGTATAACTCTGTCTCACAGAGAGCCTCAACATAGTCTCTGCTTTTTGGTGCAAGTTTCTGGCCTTGCATATTTGTTCCATTGGCTAATGTTTAAAGTTATTCGATCAGACCAAAGGCTCTGTGCCTCTATCTTAGAGCAGGCATAATAAAGTCCGTACCACTCTGAGTCTTGTCCTCCCTCAGACATCATTATAAACGTACTACACCTCTTCTCGTAGGTGTTTATATCTACCACCCCCAACTTTTTGTCTTAATAGTTTTAAATTGCTGCTATGGTATTTCTTAGTTTCCCTTTCTCTAGGTATCTCTATCCTATGTCACTTCATCTCATGATGTTCTTGTTATTAATAATGAATGAGCATTACAAACTGATAGGCTATCAAATTTTTGATAGATGTGTAGAATTTATTTTACACATGAGGCTACTTGAGGATAGCAAATGAGGATGCAAATGAGGATATTAAGTGCCATGGCAATTCTGTGTCATGGTCAAATCATCATGGTCCAACTTGTTGAGAGTAAGAAGTAAAGAGATGCTGTAGAAGATCATGTCGGTGCCCAAGAAAGGACATATTTATTGGAACATGTAAGATTTTGCCTATTGCGTCTGTAGAAAAGTGTGGTTATGCAGTAAAGTGTTCTATTCAAAACAAGTGAGTTCAAAACAAAGCTTTTTCCATTTTCTGGAACTTGCTCTTTCCAAACCATTGTTCATTATTCATCTTTTAACCTCCTTAAACATACTGCCAGAAATCCTATAATTTAGAAGTATAAGGGTAACATAAAAAATTACTCAGCCATAAAAAAAAGAATGAAATAATACCATTTGCAGCAACATGGATAGACCTAGAGATTATCATACTAAGTGAAGTAAGTCAGAGAAAGACAAATATATGATATCAATTATATGTGGGATCTAAAATAATGATACAAATGAACTTATTTACAAAATAGAAACAGACTCACAGACATAGAAAACAATCTTATGGTTACCAAAGGGGAGAGAATGGGGGATGGATAAATTAGGAGTTTGGAATGAACTGATACACACTACTATATATATAACAGATAACAAGGACCTACTGTAAAGCACAGGAAACTATATTCAATATCTTGTAATAACCTATAATGGAAAAGAATCTGAAAAAGAATATACATATATAACGGAATCACTTTGCTATACACCTGAAACTAACAACATTGTAAATCAATTATACTTCAATAAAAAGAAACACTAGATGAGTAGATATCACATATGCATAGCACAGAGTTAGACACTTCATAGAACAAAAACCTTTACTATCTTTTCTTTCCTCTTAATTTTTCCTCATTCCTATACCCGGTTTTATAACTCCTCACTTACTCAATCATCAACTTTCATCCCTTTACTTCCCTTCTATAGAAAAGCCTGCTCAGTTGAAGTAAATTAAGTTGATAACACAATATTCTGTTCTGGTTTGGAAACCACCCCCATTCTCTATATCCATATAAAAAAAGTCACTAGAGTCTTTTTTGATCAATATACTCATATTTGCACTTGAATCATATACTCTGCCCAAAACAAAAATACCATAAAAGATCCATTTAGAAATTATTCTATAATACAGACTTTCTAATTCTACCCTTTCTGTCCCATTGTTTTCATACAAAGTACTTTCAAACTTGTATTTTAAAAAATTACAGGTGATGTTGAATGAATATGGAGATTTACTCTAAAACTCTAACCACATTTAAAAAGTTAAAAAATAAAATTTTAATCGTTCTACATATAGTATACAAGTATTTTGTATTTACACAGTTGTCTAATGCCTTCATAGGCATACACCTAGTAATGAGTGCTATAATATATACTTCCTGAGTTCTGGAATTTTTTTAATCAAAGTATAGTTGATTTACAATGCTGTGTTAGTTTCAGGTGCACAGCAAAGTGATTCAGTTTTATATCTATCTATTTGTCTATCCATCTGTCTATCTATCAAGAGATATACATTCTTTTTCAAATTCTTTTCCATTACAGGTTATTACAAGATATTGAGTTTAGTTCCCTGTGCTATACAGTAGGTTGTCTATTTTATATATAGTAGTGTATATCTGTTAATCCCAAACTCCTAATTTATCCCTCCCCCACCCTTTCCCCTTTGGTAACCATAAGTTTGTTTTCTATGTCTGTGAGTCTCTCTCTGTTTTGTAAATAAGCTCGTTTATATCATTTTTTTTTCAGATTCCACATATAAGCGATATCATATGATATTTGTCTTTGTCTTACTTCACTTAGTATGATAATCTCTAGGTC